AAAAAAAAAAAAAAAGTCCTTCCCACCAGAAGGGGATCGTCTGAACGAAGCGTTGGCTGTCGCTGCTGTTGCTCCTTCTGTCAGCACCAGCGCCTGAACTCAAGTCCTCCCACTTGGGCTTGGGCTCACCTTTTTTTGCTCATGGCTGGCACTCTATCCCTTGCACCATGCCTCCAGTCTAGCTTTTTGCTAGAGGGAGGAGTTTCATGGACTTCTCTGTCCAGCTGGCTTCAAACCATGATCCTTAAGATTGCAGTACCCGCAGTGGCCAGTCCTGCGGGCCCCAGCACCAGGCTCTCCACTACTGAATTAAGTGAGTCACATTAATTCACCAGAAACTTCAAGGGGTGGTTCCCGTTCTAACATCACAGGACTGCAGGTTCGGTGGAGGGGGAGGGAAGGCTCCGGAGGAGGGAACCATTCCATCACTAGCCAGGAGAACTCCCACAGCTTTCCTTCCAGCAAGCCGGCTCTGGTGGCTCACAGCTACTCGAGAGGCTGAGGGTCACATTTTGAAAACAGCCCAGCAGCAAAGTCCATGAGGCTCATATCCAATTAATCACAGAAAAGAGAGAAGAAAAAAAAAAAAAAACAGCCAGAAATGGAGCTGCGGTTCAAGTGGCAAAGCGCTCACCTTGCGTACAAAAGCTACAAGACAGCACCCAGGCCCTGCTTCAAGCCCCAGAACCAGCCCAAAACAAACAACAAAAGAAAAAGCCATATTCTTTTCTGACCCTAGTGTCAACAATCCATAATAAAGATACCAAAATACCCTGCAAACACTGGCAACACATGCAAGGCACCAATGGCTCATACCTAGAATCCTAGCTACTTAAGAAGCCAAGCTCTGGTTCCAAAACCAAGAAACATCATCACTGGCCACCACCTCTAGTCATTCATACCTGCAAGAATGACCATTTCCTGGCTCATACCTGTCATCCTAGCTACTCAGAGGCTGAGATCTGAGGATCGTCGTTTGAAGCTAGCTCAGGCAGGAAAGCCTATGAGACTTAATTCTAATAGAGAAAGCTAGAAGTGGCGCTGTGTCTCAACTAATAGAGCTCTAGCCTTGAGCAAAAGGAGATCAGAGACAGCACCCAGGCCCAGAGTTCAAGCCTCAGGACCAGCAAGAAAAAAAAAAGTCATTTCCAAACAGTACCATGAAGCTTCCTTTATTCTAACTGTAACTGCTGATGTCCACTACTTAATCTGATGCAGTCTTAGCAGATGAAGAAATGAATGAATGAATGCACAGACAGCCAACTCAGTATCAGATAGGAGATGCACTTCCTGACTGCTTTCTTCTGCAGTTGGCAACACACCATCCCAGGACAGTTCTGAATTCCAGGCATTTTGGTTATAGTTTAATAGCTATGATATTAGTACAATTCCAAAGCAAAATTTGTCCATATTTGGAAATTCATTCCTCCCTTTAGCAAATCCCCTGCTGGAGGCCATCACTGGACATAAATCCTTCAATTGAAGCATCAGCCTTTTCTAGACACTTGCCAATCCACTACAAATACAATGCACCATGAACCACAGCACATTCACAACTTCAACAGGAAGAACTAATTTTAAGTCCAAACTAATTTCTTATTCCCAATTCAGTCATTCAGCTCAAAGTAAAACTAGCCTCCGTGCAATCCTTTTTTTTTTTTTTTTTGGGGGGGGGGGGGGGGTCTGGTCATGAAGCCTTAACTCTGGGCCTGGGCGCTGTCCCTCAGCTCTTCAGCTCAAGGCTGGCGCTCTACCACTTGAGCCACAGCGCCACTTCTGGCTTTTTTCCTTTTTCCTGCTTATGTGGTGCTGAGGAATCGAACCCAGGGCCTCGTGCATGCAAGGCAAGCGCTCTACCACTGAGCCACCTTCCCAGCCCCCGTGCAATCATTTCTTGTGTTCTCGGGCTTGAACTCTGGGCCTGGGTGCTGCTATCTCTTGGCCTTTTTGTTTAAGGTTAGCACTCTGCCACTTGAGCCACAGCTCAACTTCCAGATTTCTGCTTGTTAATTGGAGGCAAGTGTCTCACAAACTTCTGTGAAGGCCAGCTGCAAATTGTAGTCCTCAGATCTCAGTCTCCTGAGTAGCTGGAATTACAGATGTGAGCCAAAGTGCCCACCTCCATGCAGTCTTTAAATATTTCTTCCCGTTAGCATAACCGACTTTAGAGAAGTATAGCCTTCCAGCCAGGCACTAGTGGCTCACACCTGTAATCATAGGTGGAACTCTAGCTCAAAGTGGTAGAACACTAGGCCTTGAACAAAGAGTTCAGGGACAGCACCTAGGCCCCGAGTTCAAGCCCCGTGACCAACAAGAAAAAAAGTTTTTAAACTACAACCTTCCATTAACAGAATCCATTAAACAGGGTTTAATGTTTATTTAGCTCATCTTACTGTAAGTTTCATCTTGCCTACCGCGTCTTCACATCTGAAGGGCTGTCTGTTCTACTCAGTCCATCTTGCCTACTGCGTCTTCACATCTAAAGGGCTGTCTGTTCTACTCAGTACTCATTGGCAAATACTGTCACGAAGTTTTCTCAACAAAACATTTAAGTCTTCTAAAACCATCAAGTCCTTCTATACAGACTTCCCACTCATGAATGCTAGTCTCCCAGCCACCTCCGGACGGCCTCAAGGGTCCAGTGACTGACATTTCCAGCCGCGTCGGCTCCCTGGCCTGCTACACAACTGGGGCGGGCAAATGTGTCCCGTGGTTCTATCTGAAGTTCTGGATTCCCACAGCTCCGCACTTTGCTTCTTTGGCTTTACCACTTCCTTAGTTCTTAGGTCTGTCTATAGCACTATGCAGGAGGGGAACAACGCCCACTGGCTTATCACCATACAAAATATGTCTTCTGGGGCTGGGAAGGTGGCTCAGTGGTAGAATGCTTGCTTGCCTTGCATGCATGAGGCCCTCGGGTTTGATTCCTCAGCACCACATAAGCAGAAAAAGGCAGAAGTGGCGCTGTAGCTCAGGTGGTAGCCTTGAGCTGAAGAGCAGAGGACAGCGTTCAGGCCCCACGACTGGACCCCCCCCCCCCAAAAAAAAGTGCCTCCTGTCATTTCAAGGAGAAACCTACAATTGCCCAATCTGTCTTCATCTCTACCTGCAGTAGATTCTGGACAAAATCGTCTAGCTAAAAAAATGTTCACTTTGGCCAGGCACTGCCTGGTAGCTCATGCCTATAAACCTACCTACTCAGGAGGCTGAGTGAGATCTGAGGATCGTGGTTCAAAGCTAGCCTGGCAGGAAAGTCTGTGATGGGACTTATCTCCAACTAAGTGCTCTAAGAGCCAGAAGTGAAGCAAGCCATGACTCAAGTCAGGGACAGCCCCCAGGCCCTGAGTTAAAGCCCTAGGACCTGCCTGCACCAAAAAGATCCCACTTAATACTATTCTGTTCTTGAGAGGGAGACACACCAGGTTACCCAGACTGGGCTGTAATTCCAAAGCTCCAGCCTCCCTCAGGAGTAGCGGAATGCACCAGCCCACCAGACTCTGCCTACAACACACTTTCAGTGTATAGCTATCTGACTAGTGTTTAGAATATACATTGAAAGATGAGAGGTTTTTCACAACTATTTCCCTACTGAAATGACGTGACATATGCCAGATTGCAAGTTTAACTGGAAGGAGCATACAGCACAATTAATTCCTAACCACCTCGGATTATACTACCTTTTCCTCAGAGGTATGAACTACAAAACTGACTCTTGTTTTTGCAAAGGAGTCATCACTACGCGAATCAGGCCAGCTTCAAACCCACCTGCGATGCTGAGATTACAGGCAGGCAACACTACATTCTGTTGAACGTTGTGCCCCACAATCAGTTTATTTCCTTTTTTTACAACCTCATGGCTTCTGAAATGACCCAAGTCTGGCTTCTGCCACACTTTGGTTAAGTGTGTACTTACCAAAGCACCTGGCTGTATTAGCAATCTCCATGTTAAAGCCGCTATTACGGGAAAAACCCACTCGTTTCTTCACAGAGCGAGATCGCTCATTCAGGTGACTTTTCAATCTCCCCTAAGTCCAAAATTACTTAAATGAACAAATTCATTCATCTAAAACAGACACTCAAAAAAAAAATCTCTGTATAATAATTTTAAAAAAAACCTCCCTCGAACCCATCCATTGCACTGACTTCTTTCAACCTATCAGAACCAGTAACTTTAAAACAGTTTCTGTTTGCAGGAAAGAATATGTTCAAGTGAAACACTTTTATTGTGTGTTTATTAAAATCAAAAAGCATTGAGTTACCCACAAGACACTTCTACATACTGTGTGTGAGTGTGTGTGTGTGCACGTGCATGCGCTGGTATTGGGGCTTGAACTCAAGGTTGTGTGCTGTCACTTGGCTTTTTCCACTCAAGGCTGGTGTTCTACCACCAGTTCCAATTCTAGGTGCTTGAAGCAAGGTCCAGCTTAAGGAAGTTGTCAAACACTATGGATTCCCAGCCTGTATTCATGTTTAGTTTCACAGTAATGTGTCTTTCAAATTGTATTACTCAGAAATGCAATTGTAATGTGATCAGTAACACAACTGCTTAAGAGTTTTTAAATGTCAACTTGAAATCATCTATAATTTAGGATACACAAATTTAAATTCTGGGTAAGAAACTAGCCACCCTGGGCAACTGGAAGACAGCACAAAAACTGCTGACTGAGGAACCGAGTCTTCAGGACAGATGGGCATAAAGACACAAGCTAAGTCACTAGAAGCTGTGCCGCGTTGGCACTGCAAGCGAGGGACTGCGCTTTCCCTAGTGCACACAAGAGAAGTCCATGAGCTGTGTAATAAAGGGATTAAGGCTGAAGATGATAAAAACAGAGCTGCGTTCTAAGTGCGCGGCTCCACAGGGCTCGTGGTTCACCTGTGTTCTCTCGGCGAGCAGAACCTAAGGTTCAACCGCCTCAACACTCAACACTATTACAAGAATAATTTCCTCCCATCTTGAAATTTTTCAAAGCTTTTTGAGAAACACACACAAATAATTTGGATTTAGTTGATTTTATTTACAATTTTTTGTTTTCTTTTTTCTTTTCTTTTTTTTTTTTACATTTCAGAGCATCACACAATTACATTGTTTTCTGACCTGCAAACAGATACCTTATTTCCTTTTAAATGATCAAATTAGGTAACATCCAAATGTAACAATTACACGTGACAATTAATTCCCAAAGTGTAATTTCCTAGGACATATCCTAAGGACTTAGGAACAGCCAGTCAGGAAATTTGACCAAATTTAGCCGTGTACAGTGTGTGCAAACAAAACCTATCTAACCCAACCAGAGACGTGAAAATCTGTTATACCCCGCACAAAAGAAAGTGGTGATGGCTCGCACGTGTCATGAGTTTGACATGACGGTTTCCGATGCCAGAGGCAGGGCGGTTGTTTGTAAACAGCGAGCCAGTCAGTCAGTCAAGAAGGCTGCGGCCAGCGCTCCACCACTGCGTGCAGAGGGAGGCTGTGTCTCTAGTTCGTCCATAGCCACTGCTCAGCCAGCGCACCAACCCTACCTAGAAGCCTGGACACCCAACCAGGGTCACACTGGGACAGGCAGTCATTCTACAGCTGGGTAGCTTGTGTGTTGTGTGTGCACAGATACACACAGAGTGTATCTGTACACACACAGGATCGCAGTTTCGGTTGAGGCTATGGCTTTTATGTCTTCAGGTGGTTCTTGGATTCCAAGACTTTTGGGAAACACTGCCAACAGTCTCCCTCCCTCGCGACAAATAAAAATGATCTGTGTTCAGTTGAAGTGTAAAACTGGCTAGAAGGTAGTATAAAAAGCCGGCCGGGCGAGGGCGGTCTCCCCGCCCTGCTGGGCCGGGCTGGGCCGGGCCCCTGCGGAGAAGCCATTCCTCACCGGGCCGGGCAGGCCTAGGGCGCCTTCCCGCGGTGCTTGCCTACCTGACTGTCCATGCTCACGTTTCAAACTGGGTCAACAGAGCCCGCACCTCGGGGGTGAGCTGCCGGGCGGCCTTGGCCGCCTCTGTGATGGCCTTGCGGTACAGGCCCTTTCTCTTCTTGTTAAAGCGCGCCTGGAAGTTTTCTAGGAAGGGGGAGAGCTGCGACAGGGCGAGGGAGGAGGTGGTGGGGGACCCGAACCAGGCGAGGCGGGCCTCCTGGCGGGCCAGCAGGCCGTTATCGCGGCGGCTCACCGTGATGGTGAGGATGCGGGCCGGCCACCAGGGGAAGCCATAGATCTTGGCCCAGACAATGTCCCCCACACACAGGGTCCTGCCATCGGGTGTGATGCACTTAGAGACGGTTTTGGAAAAGATTCTCATTTTCAAGGAATGGCTGGGCTTTGCCTTGTCTTCCTCCGGGGCGGCGGCGGCGGCGGCGGCGGGCGGCGCGTGCACGCCGCCGGGAGGAAAGGCAAAGCTCTCGGAGGAGCAGCTGGCCTCCGAGCTGGAGGACTGCAGGTCGTCGGCGCTATCGAGGCTGCACACCGAAGCACTGCACGAGTCGGCCGGCTTCTGGTGCAGGGTCACGAACACCGCGAGCGCGCCCTGGCCGCCCCGCGCGCCCAGCGTCCGTGCGGGCTCCCGCGCGCCGGGCACGCGCGCCTGGCCGGCCGCCGGGCCCGCCTCGCCGGCCCGCGGGCCCGGGGCGCGGGGCCCGGGCTGGGGCTGGCGCGGGCGCGGGCGGCGCGCGGGACTCTCACCTGCTGCGCGGGAGGAGGAGCAGCGCGCCGGCGGCTTGGGGGCCAGCTTGCCGCTGCGCACGCGCTCCAGCCCCGTCTTCAGGGAGGAGTCGTTCTCCTCGTTGCGGTAGCGCTGCGGTTTTAAGCGCACGCGGGGCGGCAGGGCGCCCGCGCCGGGGCTCTGGTAGCGCCGCGAGAGGTGCGCCTTGGCGTGCGCGCCCCGCGAGGTGGACGACTCGCTGGGCTTCTTCTGGGCCTTCTCCTTGGCCATCTTGAGCACCTCGCGGGCCTTGGCGTGGTCCATGTTCTTGCTCTGCAGCACCTTGGCGGCGGCGGCCGCCTGCGCCGGCACCCGCACCACGCGGGCGCGGCCGGGGCCCAGGCCCGGCACCTTCACCACGGCGCCGCGCCGCGGGCCCTCGGCGGGGCCGCGGCCGTCCACCTTGGGCTCGCCCTTGAGCTTCTTGCCGGCCGCGGCGGCGGCGGCGGCGGCGGCGGCCTCGCTGCGGCGCTTGCGCTCCTCGCAGCGCGCCTGCGCGTGCGCCTGCGCCTGCGCCTCGCCCGCGCCGCGCCGCGCCTCGCGCCGCTCGGCCGCCACGCTGTTCTTGCACTTCTCGCACAGCACCTGGCGCGGCCGCAGCTTGATGGCGTTCATGATGGACGTGGGCTCCTCGCGGTACAGCTTCCGCTTGGGCCGCTTGATCTTGCGCGGCGGCGGCTGAGGTATGGACTGGTTGTAGGTGTCCCTGATGAACAGCGGCGGCGGGTACGGGGCGCCCTCGTGGAAGAGCGGCGGCGGCTTGCCCGTCCAGCCCAGCGCCGCCTCGGGGCCCGCGCCCGGCGCCCGCGGCTCCGGCCGCTCCTTGGACTCCCTCCGGGGGAACACCGTCACCGGGATCCCGTGGGGCCCGAACCTGGGGAGAACGGAGAGAGAGCCGTGAGCCAGCAGCGCCTCCGGCCCGGCGGGCACCTCCCACCCAGCCAGCGGCCCTCCGGCGCGGCGGCGCCCCGCGTGCACCGGGCCTGGCTCCGGCCCCCAGCGCCTCCTCCGCAGCTGCAAATGGCTCAGCGCCTGCCTGGAGCTGACGGGCTGAGGGCCGCGCCCGGCCCTGAGTTCAAGCCCCACCACCGACAAGAAAAAGAAAAAGCTGCCCGGGCGGGCGCCAATGGCTAGCACCCGTGATCAATGAGGTTACACAGCAACCCTCGCAGCTCACGGCCCAAAGCCGCACAGTGACACCACAGCCTAAGAACCTCATCTGTAAAGTCTGCAAGTGGAGCTGTGGCTCTGGCGGTTGTCTGCTAGCACTGAGCGGAAAAGCCAAGCAGGAGCGAGCCCGGAGCCCAAGCCTCAGTGCCAGCACGCACGCGCTCACACACACACACACAATACTGGGCAGCTTATACAGATGTCATATATTGCTGTGCAACAGTATGGTGTGCAACTCTTTCAGTAAATGTAACTACAAACATATACACACTACATAATACATAAGCCTCACAACAACAAACACGGTGAAACACGCTTGTAATCCCAGCGCTCAGGTGGCGAAGGCAAGAAAACTGCAAAGCCAAGGAAACTACGGCACGTGAATTTGAAGCCAGCCTGAGCTACAGAGCAAGACCCTGTTTCTTTTAAAAAGAGAAAACTAGCTGGGCGCTGGTGGCTCACGCCTGTAATCCTAGCTACTCAGGAGGCTGAGATCTGAGGATCCCAGTTCAAGGCCAGCCCGGGCAGGAAAGCCCCTGAGACTCCTATCTCCAATAAGCCACAAGAAAATCAGAAGTGGCGCTGTAGCTCAAGTGGTAGAGCGCTCGCCTTGAGCTGAAGAGCTGAGGGACAGCGCCCAGGCCCAGAGTTCAAGCCCCATGACTGACAATATAAATAAATACAAATAAAAAGAGAAAGCTGAGCTGGGCACTGGTGGCTCAATCCTAGCTTCTCAGGAAGCTGAGATCTGAGGATCGCAGTTCAAAGCCAGCCCAGGCAGCAAAGTCCATGAGACTCATCTCCAATGAACCACCAGAAAACCGGAAGTGGTGCTGTGGCTCAAGTGGCAGAGCGCTCGCCTTGAGGTGAAGAGCTGAGGGACAGCGCCCAGGCCCAGAGTTCAAGTCAACTTTAAAGAAAAAAAGAGAGAAGCCAAGTGCCAGGGACATCTGAGAACTGAGTATCATAGTTCAAAGCCAGCCAGAGCAGGAAAGTCCATGAGACTTTTATTTCCAATAAAGTACTCAGAAAAAGCTGAAAGTGGCAATGTGCCTCGAGTGGAAGAACGCTTGCCTTGAGCACAAACAGGCTCAAGGACAGCACCCAGGCCCTGAATTCAGGTCCCAGGACTGGCCCCAAGTCCTCAGTCAGGTAGAGCCCCTCCCCTCCAACACTACGCAAACGTTTGTAGAGTTTTGTCTGCCTCAGAGCTTGGATTCTCTAAAGTGTCATCAAGCACCCATAAAAGTCCACAATAACCTTGATGAAAAAAGAATACTGAGGTTAGGTACCTAACCGCATTAGAAAGTCAACATGAACCAAGTATCTGATTCTAGTTACCTAAAAACATGGCTTCAGAAATTCTTTGCGGGACTACCACGAACCAACAATTACCTCCATCATTTATAAACCAGAAAGAAAGAGAAAAGCCTGGGGGAGGGGGAGATCGGAAGGGGAAACAGGAAGAAGAGACATTCTCCTCAGTGTCAGATTCAGCAGAAAAGCATCACAGCTGACACCTGCGTGTGCTGTTTGCACACTGACCTTCAGCCCCTTTTTAGGAGGACAGGACAAGGCCAGTCCTGTGTTCTGTGGAACTTATCTAAGGAGAGACCACTATTTCTATGAAACTTACTGCTTCATAAGTGCCCACATCTACCAACGGCTCAAGAACAGAAATGCCCTCCCTCTTTTTTTTTGGTGTCGGTTGTGGGGCTTGAACTCTGAGCCTGAGCGCTGTCCCTCAGCTCTTCAGCTCAAGACTAGTGCTCTACCACTTGAGCCACAGCGCCACTTCTGGTTTCTCATAGACTTTCCTGCCCTGTCTGGCTTTGAACTATGATCCTCAGATCTCAGCCTCCTGAGTAGCTAAGATTACAGGCATGAATTACAGTAGCTAAGATTACAGGTGCCCAGCTCCTTCTTATTTTCAACAGGAATAACTAAAACAGATGAAAGTTTGGTTTGGTTTTTGTCTGTCGTGGAGCCTGAACTCGGCCAGGGTGCTGCCCCTCAGCTCTTCAGCTCAAGGCTAGCTAGCACTCTACCACCTGAGCCACAGCACCACTGGTGGCTTTTTCTGCTTATGTGGTGCTGAGGAATCGAACCCAGGGCCTCATGCATGCAAGGCAAGCACTCTACCACTAAGCCACCTTCCCGGCCCATTTGGTTTTTTCTTGAGACATGGTCTTGCTATGTAGCCCAAACTGGCCTTAAACTTTTGAGCTGTCTTGCCTCTGCCTCCCAAGTCCTGATTACAGGCACATGCCACCACCATGCGTTATCCATCTTAGTATATGAAACTGCTCACTGATCTCCTGCCACTGAACCTTCTACTTTCCACAGAAAGCAACTCTTGATAAATAGGTTAATAATGTTGTGACATTTCTCTTGGCTAAAATTTACTTCAGTCATTTTGCATTATTTTAGTCACTATAGAGTTCTCTTTATCTCTTTAACTTTTCTTCTCAATGTCAGACAATTACTTTAAAGCTGGTATATCAAGTTGTAGAATCTGATATGTTTACCCTAGAAGTTCAACAAAACATTTATTATTTCACATCTCGATTTTTTTTTCTTTGCCTTTCCCTCATAAACATAAAAATACTCAAGGGCTAAGTATTTTGTTCTGCAGGATTGGGGTCAACCTGGAGCTATTCACATTCCCAAAAATGTTCTTAATAAGGAGGTACTTAACTGCTTGGTGATGGATAGAAGCCGGAAGATGGGAAGAAAAGTTTAAAAAAAAAAAGGCAAAATGGCAACTTTGGGTAGAGACTCGCTAAATACAAAAGTAATTTTAAAAGTAAAACATCCTTAAGGAACTAAGGAGAGGGGCAAGACAAGTGAGCACAGTCAAAGTTAGATTTGCATATGAGAATAAAAGAACAACTGAATTTGTTGAAATCACTCTTTGAAACAGGGATGGGAGGGATGGGGAAGGGAGACGGTTTATAAAAGGGGGAATTTAGACCGGTGCCAGTGGCTCCTGCCTATAATCCTAGCTACTCAGGAGGCTGAGGTCTGAGGATCACAGTTCAAAGCCAGCCCAGGCAGGAAATCTCCAATTAACCACCAGAAGACCAGAAGTGGCGCTGTGGCTCAAATGGTAGCGCACTCACCTTGAGTTGAATAGCTGAGGGACAGCGCCCAGGCCCAGAGTTCAAGCCCCATGACTGACAAAAAGGGGGGGGGGGGTGATCAGGATGCAATGTAAGCACGGATGAAATGGCACAATGAAACCATCCTGGTGCAAGTAAGGCACACATAATCAACACTTTTTTTTAGTGGGATACTACTTTTACAAAAATACATTCAGCATCCTCAATCATCCAGGAAGGTAACAAATGAGAGGGTTCACATGGCCTCACTCACACACACAAGAACATTTCCCTTGCAGCCAGGGTGGAGGCTGGCTGTGTAAATTTCAGTGTGCTTCAGAGCAACAGTAAGGAACTGTGATGCTGCTGCTCTGGTAATTCTCAAGTGCACTCCTCAGGAAGCGGCGCTGTGGCTCAAAGTGGTAGAGCCCTCGCCTTGAGCTGAAGACCTCAGGAACAGCGCTCAGGCCCAGAGTACAAGGCCCCCAATTGACAAACAGAAAAAAAACAATGTACTTCACAAGTACTCCCCATATGCTCAAAAGTTTGAAAACTACTAACCTATGAAGCTGCAGCCTTCCTAAGACTATAAAGTATTTCCCTCTAACAGCCTAACTTCTCAACTTGAACAGTCTGGAAATCTTCATCACAAAGCCCTGGAGGAGGGCTTGCAAATGGAGATTTCTAGATTCTCCCCCACACTGAGCCCCAAGGTTCTCGACAATGATCCTGGGGTGAGAACTGTTACGGGCATCACTCTAGCTTTCTTTTACACAGACTTGGTCAGTGCTGGCCAGAGCAGCCTCCACTGAGAACTTTAGTGATCAAGTACATAAGTAAAAGGCTTGAGCTCTTTATGAACTTCTTACAAGTACTCCAGACTCCGAGAACTGACCGATCGGATCTGCTTTCTGTCCCCACCTTTCTTAGTGACTCACTCTGAGGCAAGATAAACTGAGGGAAATGAGGCCAGGTGAAGGCAACTCAGATGCATGGTATTTAGAAACACAGAAGTGCTGCTGTCTTTGCTTCAAAGAGAACAGGATGCATTCCTTCCCGAGAGATGTAGATCTCACCCCAAGAATTAATATTTGTCTGGCAGGATGTAGGCCATCCTAAGAAAAATGCTTCCCCCAAAACCTAAGCGACCTCCTCCCCAAAATACAGACAACACAAAATAAAAAATTAAATAAAAAAAATTCTGACAACAATCTGAAGTTTAAGGATCTGTTTCATGGCAGGATGCATTCTTACCTGAAAAGAATGCCCAAAACATCCAGAAACAAAGTAACACCAAGAGTGATTAGAGCAAAGACAAACACCTATCTTTGCATAAGGTCTTCCGCCTTTTCCATAATAAAATAAAATACCCCGAGACCAAAGAGATGTGCGTCCCTCCGCTAGAGGGCCGCACTGTTAGAGGGTGCCTCCAGTTTTTCTGGTTTTTTTGTCTGCTTGCCTGCTTGCATATGTACTCAATAAGGCTCTGCCCAGTTTTCTTACCATTGTAACTTGTCCAGAAATTCTTATTCTGGGATGGAAGTCAAGGATCCAAAGTTGAGGAGAAACTTAGTTTAGAGAAACTTACAAACCCTAACCTGTA